GCAGATAAATTAGTCTAAGCTTTTATTCTTGCATGTAATTTATATTTATTCATTTATATATAAATTAAGTCTTCATTTAGGTTTGTTTCTTTATGATTACTTATATAAATTACTCAATAAAGATATGAGCAAGGCCTCACCTTTTAACATCAATAAAAAAAAAAAGTAAAATATTAATCTTAGTGTATATATCTTTATGTAGACTAAATTTAAAATTGCATGCCTATATTATAAGATAAGACCCTAGCATCACGTCACTAGCTTAAAAAATTTAGCTAAAATATTTTTGTAGTTAAACTAAAGTTCAAGTTTGCTATTAAATTAGATTATATAGATATTTACTAATACCAAAGTAAATTTTTTTTTTAGTGTGCAGAATGTGATAAAATGTTGGTTTTAATTGATTTTTTTTGGTTTGTTTTGATTTTTTGCATTCTTCATTACACCTTGAAATCTTTTTTAGAGAGATAATACGTATATTGAAAAGGGTAAAATTAATCTGAAATTGGAAAAAATCAGGTAATACAGGTCTCAATCTATATTAACTAATCTAAACAACACACTAAGCTAACTAATTTAACAAAGTAACACTAATCCAAATAGTTAATAAGATTGAAACTCCAAGGTAGTAGGCTTCGAAAAGAGGCGTGGATAAACTTGGTCCAAGTTCTTAGAAATTAGACCTATTGGTAGTTATTTCTGGGAAGTATATAAGTCTTTTTCTTTAATTTAGGCTTATAATCTATCTTTACTGTCTTTTAATTATTCCAATACTACTAATCCAATTCTTCTCTTTTGCTAGTTATAGTCATGTATTATGTAATCACGATTACTATATTGATCAGTAATTTAATATTTGGCTTAGATTGATGATATATTAACAATGATCACTCTATGTCACAAGTAGAATTTTTGATGAGAGATTGGATTTTCAATCAATTTGATGTGTTATGGGTTTCACACGTCACAAGAATTTGGATGATCCAATTAATTAATCTGTAATAATAAGGTCATGGCCTAGCCTTTCAATTGTAACTACCCCAAGAACACCTCTAAATTTTCTACATAATCACATAATATGATCTACTTGTATAACAATAATCTTCAAATTAACGTGATATATATAATTATAATAATATGAAATACTAAAACAATTATATACTAGATATTAATGATGTTAATATGATATCATTTACTGTATTACGTACTAAAAATTTTTTTTTTTTTTTTATCCTTTTGTGCAAAACATAAATGGAACTAGCAATAGATGAAACTGTTAATAAAACTAACTGCAAATACACTGTATGTCAAAAAATCTTACCTATTGATCAATTTATTATTGAAGAAAAAACTTTTAACATGTAATATATGCTGTTTATAGTCATCAATTCGTTATAATGAATTACTTGAAAGTAATAAAAAAGAAGTTTTACTTCCCAAAGATATAGTTAAAAAACTCTACAATTATATTGTTACAGCTGGACAAGATGAATATTTAGAAAATAAATTAATGGGAATCGATTTTGAATACAATATTACATTGGATGATTTTAGAGATATAAATGATACATCTAAAGAAATATCTAAAAAGATCGCTGATTTAATTGGCAATAATGATGGATATTATTATATTTACTTTAATGTTTATCAATCTAAAAAAAAGGATTTTGGGTCAAAATCCCGAACAATGGATCCCCGAAAGAATGTAATACAGAAAAAGTTGGCCGGCACTAGCCATAATGCTGGCCAATTTGGTTGGTATTATGTTTTTTTGATAATTCGTTGTTCGGGATTTTGACCCAAAATCAAAAAAATATAGAGTTAAATACTTTTCAATATCGATGTTCTTAATATAGAAATTTAGCAAAAAAGCCACGAAAACATGAAGATCCTAATTATCAAAGAGATCGTGAATCAATAGAATAGTTTGACTATAGTGAAACTCTTCGAATTAGTATTAATACAACAAAAAATCATGTATTTATTCATCTCAAGCATGGAATTCTTCATCAACGACCTGAACAAAAACATATTACAGAAGAAATTAAAAGTAAAATTAAGGAAAACCTTAATTTAACTTCAAGTGATATATATAGTATGTTAGAATAAAAATTTCCAGAAATTACACAGAAGCAAATTCATGCATGGTGGACTAAATTTATTCAAACTGAGTTTATTTGTGACAATAATCAAATAAAATTGGCAAAATTATTTTTGAAGAGTACAATTATCAAGTTATTATGTTTAATAATAATAATAGTATAAAACTCTTGGACTTTATTATACCATTTTATGAAAAATTTAAAAAAACAATGAAATATTTGTAGATGCAACTTATAAAACAAATATATTAGAGTATGAACTATATTCAATAATTACTCAATATGATGGTGCAGGTTTTGTATTAGCATATTTGTTTGTTGAAAGAAACAAGCAAGATAGTGCATGAACAGAAATTTTGGTAGAATTTTTTAAAACTTTACTATATCTAGGAATGAACCAAGTCATTTATTTATATACAGATAAAGACTTTGCCCAAATTTTAGCAGCACAGCAAACATGGCCAAATATTAAGATACAAATTTGCTACTAGCACTTTAAGCGAGCACTTAAAAAACATCTATCAGATAATTCTCAACCAAAAAAAAATCAATTATAGTTCATATGAGGCTCGCAATTTATTCAATTTTATTGATATTACATTTTATCCTATTGAAATACAAAAAAGCAGCTTCTGTTTTTGTTCAAAAGATTTACGGTCTAAAGTGATTTCAATTATGGAATACTATATGCATATATATCCTTTTATTTCTAATTTGGAAGGGTTATTTATAACAGACAAAGAAATTTGGACACAATATTCGAAGGAAATATATGAATTTTGTATCACAAATAATCTTAGATATCTTTGGTCTTATTTATAGATTAATTGGTATCATAATAGGCTTTGGCAGCTTTGAGCATGTTCTGCTGCATCTGATCAAATTTGTACTTTCCATACTATTATGCTTGTCGAGACTCACTGGAAAGTTATTAAGTACAATTTTTTACCAAAATTTTTTAAGCCAAGACTTGATCTTGTAGTTTATATTATTACTACACAGCTTATTCTACATAATCAACAACTGTATCACAAATATTTTTCTAAATGTGAAATTTCTTCATGGCACAAAGATTTTAAGAAGAAATGGACTTTATTAAAAAAAAAAAATATTAATAATATATATATTACAAATACTGAAAAATAGGTTTGCAGTTGTACCGGATTTTTATTAAATTTTTTTTTTTTTTTTTTTTTTTTATTAATATAATGTTATAGTAGAAACTTTATTACAGTCAGTCCGAAGATTGAAA